GGACTATAATAGTTTACTAGGTCTCCCCCGTTTAGTATTTCTTATTATAATGAAAGGAAAAAAAATAATATCACTTTCACATGTCAGCCATAGTTTTGTTATGGCAGATGCCTCTCTTCACATCCTTACAAACAACATTCTTCCAATTCTGTCTCTGTCTCAAACAACCTGCTTACAGAAATTAATCACTTCCTTTCCACAAAACAATCAATATACATTTTTTCAATACTAAAAATTTGAAATTTCTATGTGAATTGCAAAGAAGAAAGACAAACAAGAAGTAGAAGAATAGAGGCAAGTCTTGATGTATCTCTTACAAATTTCTTTTCCTCTTCTAGTTTGACCTGTAATATGAGAATTTGGAAGTCAGTCTTACAATTCTCTCTGTGTACTTTCTCAAGCAGAAACAGGTGCAATTCCCTTATCACTCTTTCACACCTCTCTCTAATTATATATGTTGTACTTATTCACGAATCGAAATTTCATCTTGTATAGTCTTGCGTATGTAAGAGTGATACGATTCTAATTCGCTATCGATTGTGTTTGGATCTGGTACAGCTTCAAGATAATCTTGCTGTTTTTGTTCACGAGCCCAGAAAATGGAAATATCAGATTTACAAGAGAAACAATCATTAGCTGGTGATTCTCCGGCCAAAAGTTTTATATCATCATCACCAGAAACAGAGACCATTGCAGAATTTTCGACTTTCATAGAGAAACTGAGTCCAATTCTTGATGAAATGAAAGATAGCAATGAGGTTGCAGACCTACCAACCATTCAGAAAGCTATTGAATCACTTGAAACTGATTTCCAACATGCCAAATTTGTTGTTGGAAGTCCAAATATCCGATCATCACCTGCCAAGCATATTGAAGATTTGACGCAGAATCTGGGAAGATCATTAGGCCTTGTGCTCTTTGCAAGCCATGATGTACCACTAGCTAATAAGGAAAAGATTAAAATTTTGCGCAATGAAATGATGAATGTAAGATTTGATTTGAGTTCAGAGCGTGAATCAGATTTTCCAAGTGAGGCAGAGGATGAAACGATGGAGGAAGAAACGGAAGAGGAAAAAACAGAAAACGAGATAGAGGAAGAGGAGGAGGAGATGGAGATGGAGATGGAGGAAGAAACGGAAGAGGAAAAAACAGAAAACGAGATAGAGGAAGAGGAGGAGGAGACGGAAGAGGAGGATAAAATTATATTGGATATTGATGATGCTATTATGCAGATCAAGAATGGTAAGGACAGAAAATTTAAAAATGCACTTTTGGGGTTAAATACACTGATCATGGATGGTATGATTTCAAATGAAAGAATGAATGATGAAGGTATGATCAAGGTTTTATCTCAACGATTGGGTTCGAGTAAAGGAGACGACAGAGTGACTATAATTCAAATACTAAGATATCTTATCGCGCAGAATAATCAAAGCATGGTACTGTAAGTATTATATGAGTTCATTATTTAAGTAGCCTACTAGTAATGGAATGTTTGGTGTGCACTCATGACTCAACCGGACCGAACTAGACTAGACAAATGACAATTTTTTTAACACGACTCTCTTTAGTACCTTATGCAGTCTTCCAAAGTCCAGCATACCAAATATTCTTAAAGTGTTATATTATGACTTACATTGTTTAGTAGCATGCAGGAAGAGATGAAGGATTTGGGATTTCTATCAGCATTGGTGAAGTCACTGGCACGGGATGTGGACGAGCAAAGGGAGGCTGTAGGGCTTTTATTGAATCTTGCAGATGATCCAGCAGTCAGAAGAAGAATTGGGAGAACCCAAGGATGCATTGTAATGTTGGTGACAATTTCCAATGGAGATGATCAAGAGGCTTCTAGAGATGCAAGAAAACTGCTAAATGCAATGTCAAGCAATACTCAACATGCTCTTCATATGGCTGAGGCTGGTTACTTCAAGCCTCTAATCCACTACCTAAAGGAAGGTATTTTTTTTCTCTCACTTTCTTCCTCAAAATATGGCTTTTTTGTGTTTCATATAGTAAATACCTTTAGTCGATTTTGGGACGGAGTTCCTATTTCAGCTTTTGAAATTTCCTTTGCAGGTTCCGATATGAGTAAAGTTCTGATGGCAACAGCGATATCAAGGATGGAACTCACAGATCAAAACAAAGCTTCCCTTGGAGAAAATGGGGCAATTGAACCCCTTGTGAAAATGTTCAGCAAGGGTAACCTTGAAGCTAAACTTTCAGCATTAAACGCGCTGCAAACTTTATCAAGCTTGAAGGAGAATATCCAACTCTTGATTCATTCAGGAATTGCAGCAGCTCTTCTACAGCTTCTTTTCTCTGTGACATCTGTTCTCATGACTCTGCGTGAACCAGCATCAGCAATTCTTGCAAAGATTTCTCAATCTGAAAGTATACTTTTCAAACAAGATGTTGCTCAGCAGATACTCTCACTTTTAAACCTTTCTAGTCCGGTAATTCAGAATCATCTCTTAGAAGCACTAAATAACATTGCCTCCCATTCAAGCGCGTCAAAAGTCAGGAAGAAAATGAGAGAAAGTTGTGCAATTCAGCTCCTCCTACCATTCTTTACAGAAAGAAACACTAAAATCAGGACGGCTGCCTTAAAATTGGTTTACACACTGTCCAAAGATATACCGGGAGAATTCAGAGAACAGCTCGGGGATACACATCTGACTACTATTGCAGATATAGTTTCAACATCAACATATGAGTGTGAAAAGGCTGCTGCCCTAGCCATACTAAGCAATTTGCCGGTGAATGACAGGGAAATTACATATGTACTGAAGAATGAGAACTTATTGCCCGTGTTAATTTCCATAGTAAGTTCAATGTCTTCTACTCCGACCCCAACAATGATACGGTTGACTGAGAGCATAGCAGGTATATTAATCCGGTTCACAATCCCGACAGACAAAAAACTACAACACTACGCTGCTGAGAATGGCATAATTCCTGTTCTTCTAAAGCTACTTTCAAGTTGTTCATCAGTTACTAAATCTAAGGCTGCCACTTGCTTGACTCAACTGTCTCAGAATTCTCTACATCTAAGTAAGTCGAGAAAATCAAAGTGGTTTTGCATCCCTCCCACGGACGTAGTTTGTGAAGTTCATGATGGATACTGCTCTCTCAGAAGCACATTTTGTTTAGTGAAAACCGGTGCCGTTTCTCCATTGATTCAAATCTTGGAAGGTAGTGAAAGGGAATCAGATGAGGCAGTTCTTAGTTGCCTATCAACGCTTCTACAAGATGAAATTTGGGAGAATGGGATCAATTACATCTCGAAAAACTCAGGAATTCAAGCCATTCTGAATGTTATTGAATCAGGGAATTCAAAGTCTCAAGAAAAAGCCCTTCGGATATTGGAAAAAATTTTCAGAGTTGAGGCTCATAGAGTAGAGTATGGTCAATCTGCACAAATGCTTCTCATTGATCT